CTTTTTAAATATTTATGTGTTTGTTGTGTTTCTTCTTTTATTTTTTATCTGTGATTTGTGAAATGTGAACATGTGTGTGAAAGGTGTACTACTACTGCACAAAAATTGCCCATACTGGGACAAATAAAAGCTACTGAACTGAACTGAACTGAACAATGTGTCACTGGTCCTCTCAAACAACTCACATCTTTGTCAGTGAAGCTGAGTGTTCCACATCTCTTCCTTCATGGTGCCCATCTACATTAAGATCCAGAATTCTTAAATATAAAATCAGAATTTTGAGAACAAAGTCCGATTTCTGAGAAAAAAAGTCAGAATTCTGACTTTTTTCCCATATTAAGCTGAAATAATATTTAAAAATCAGTTAACTTTTTTTCCCCCAGTGGCCCTAATCCTCTTCCGTAGTAATTTATCATTCAAGGGCTCATCTAATTGGTCAAATGGTTAAATAAGATGTACTTTGCTGAATGGCTGGATATAGCTCTTTATAGATTTATGACGCTTTATAATCATAAATAAGTGCTATAAAATATTTTCTCTGTGCCCATGCTTTTTTTAAATAAATAATTGTCCCAAAAAATTTTATTTTGTATTTTTATTTCTTTTTCGTTACATCTCTGTAACCTGTCTTACTCATCCACACGTGGCACTCACATCTTCCAGCTGTTTATGTAAGAGAGCGGCGAGGCTGTCTCTTGCGCGCGTGCCTCGCTCACCGGAAGAGGAAGGACGGTGAGTAAAAATTTCTGATGAAATCTCCATCTGGAGCGGCAGACGGACACAGGGAGAACCTCGGCGGCTCAACCTCAACAGCAGGCGGACACCGAGAAGTATTACCGACCCCAGCGAGGAGTCTAAAAACACAACCGGTGAAGGAGTTTATCAGAGCGGTTGTTGAGGCTGTTTTTGAAATCTTAAACCGTTGGGAACCAACCCGCCAGTACGCTGCCGGGGGCTAAGCTAACGTGCTAACTAGCAGAATAGCCACCGATCCTCGCAGTCTGAATTCGGACAGAATGGATTCTTCCCGCTTTTCAGACCGGTACCAGTCCTCATGTCACGGATCCAACTCGTCAGGCCTCATTGTCTACCTCAGCTCTGGCTCTACACGGAGGAAGTCCGACCACCGCTCTAAGCCTGACGCCGGTTTTATGGAGGATATTTCCTGGTTTCCGCGCTGCTCCGGTGCTCTGTAAGCCCAAGTGTTTGACAGCTGTCAGACCAGCAGCAGGCGTCGCTGCTGGAGATTTTAAACTCTGCACTTTAACACAGCAACATGTTCAGAAACGCTAACGGTGAAGCACGTTTTCCTAGCGGCCCAGGCTCTCCTTCCTCCCCGCAGCTCGCTTCGGTCACCTTTGACGGCCAGGAAAGCTCGTGGATCGGCCTGCTGTCCAGGCCCGCGCTGTCTCTGCTGCGGAGACTCCGCCTGTGGGGCGCAGCGCCCGCAGAGATCAGCAACAGCTTCATCGGTGAGGAGAACGACATTTTACGACAGTTAAATGGAATAATGCCGTTTACGCCTCCTGTGGGACATCAATTTACGCGATGTAAACACGACGGAGTACCCGGTGTTGGCCTCCTGGATCCAGGGACAGGCGGCCCTGTGTCCTGGATGTCTGCTGGGATGGATCACAGCCTGCAGCCTCAGATAAGCTATTTCTCCTCCATCAGGGCTCATATAAACAAAAATCTGAAGAATCCTCAGGAAGTACAAGGCGCTGGAGGGAGGCCCTTGGTTCCGGTGAGCCCCCCAATGAGGAGCAGCTCTGCAGGTAAAATTGGGCCTTGGTGGGGCAGCTTTATACAAATAGAGGAAAGCTCAGAGACATGTCTTCTGTCTGAGGTGACGGAAACGGGCCGGCTTTGTTCTCCCTCTGTAGCCCAGATAAAAGCCCCCCCTACTGACACCACCCCTGTGTTAGAGTCGGTGCTGCCAGAAAACGCTGGACCTCCCTGCCTGGATGACAGCAAAGCCCCTCACAGAGTCCAGAACAAAGCTGGCTTCACGGAAGGTGAGCGGGGCTGCAGAGGGGCAGGACTTCCTTTACCTGAGCATGATAACGGGTATTCCAGCCTAGAGGAGGAGCATTCCCAGATGGGCCTCCTTTCCCAGCTGAGGGCCCCCAGTGAAGAAGGGAACCAGCTGGAGCCCAGCGTCCCTCAGATGGAGGAGATCCCAGAACAGCCTGAACCTGAAGAGGTGGTCTCCGTTCCCCAGTGTCAAAACAAAAGCATCGCCTTCATCATGGGCTGCCCCTGCAGCGACGACGAGAGCAGCCAATCAGAATCTGACTCTGAGTCTGATGATGATGACGATGATGACGGCTTTGACAGCGAGGGCTCCTCTGATCTGTCCGACTCCTCAAACGAAGATGAGGATGATGAGGCTTCAGACTCTGACAGTGAACCCGACTCAGAATCGGAGCGTCTCTGGACCTCCCTGTGCCAAAGTCAGGACCCCTACAACCCCCGAAATTTTACCGCCCGCCTGCACACAGGCCCGCCCGCCAGGACCGCCCCCACCCTGCCCGTCAGTGTTCCAGCTCCCTCACCTGCCTCCACCCCTCATTCCCCCCCGGCGTCTTCTCCTACCCCCATCTCTGCCTCCCCTCCATCCAGCCAAGACACTTGGGACGATTCAACGTCGGCCAGTGAGGTGGATGAAGCGGAGAGTCTCCGCCTGCTGAGCTCTTTCAGTTGTTCTGCAGACCCATACAGCCCTTTAAACTTTAAGGCTCCACTCAGGACTCAAGGCCCCACTGAGCCGCCTCCTAAAACCAGGAACAGAACCAGTGCAATGCCTCAGACTCCCCCTCAGGCTCTCCATCATAATACTGCATCCCCACCTGAGTACAGGAAGGAGGGAGCTGAGGAGAGGCTGGACAGCGGCTTCTCAGAGGCCTCCACCACGCAGCAAAGCTGCAAGATCCCCAAAAAGGTCAGTCCAGCTCACTTCCTGTCCTCTAACACTTCAATCTGTGATCAGGTACAGAGCCGCTTGCTTACGGAGTCTAACAGAGTGCAAAAAAGTATTTGATTAGCTGTCCCACCAACAAAACATGTCATGTTCGTTTTAGGAACATTTTAGAAGCACTTTAACTATTAGACGTGATCTAAAATAAGGTCCATAAACAACACATTATATGATTAAATAATCAGCATTTTATTACTTTAACTATTTTTGACAACAATAAATATAACCAAATATTTATTACAGAAAGTATCAGTGACTGAGCTCAGCTGCTCCTGTTTGCATACTGCAGAAATACGCCTAAAGATCTCCAGATCTTTCAAGATTCAGGTTTGTCGTTTGGACCACAGCCACTTCCTGGTTGCACTGTCTGTTTTGGGGGTCACTGTCATCCTCGAAGATCTAACCATTTTCATTTTACTGAGGGATGTTACTGAAAACCACGTGGTACTCTGGATCATCTAGATGGGCTGTCATGGGGGGAGGCATGTATGCGCTGCAGGATTTGATTCTATGATGCTGTAGCGTGTTGGCAACAGCTTTCTCATGGTCAGACATTACCTGGAGCTCCAATCTGAGGAAGATCAGGCGTCATCTTAAGTTTCTCATATTTCGAAGGATAACACCAGTAGTTGTTACTTTCTCTGCAAACTGCTGACCTGTAGTCCATCCCAGCCTTGTGCAGGTCTACAGTTAAATCTCCTGGTAGACAGACTGGTGTCTGATTGTGTAGATGACCGTTTCTCCAGGTAATTAAGGCAGGACAGGGTAGCTTCTCAGTCTATGGCATCCTGAATTCCATAATTTTATTCAATGCGTGGGTCTTTTTAAGTTTGGGCCATTTTCAAATTGGTTGCGCAGTGAAGGAGATGGCTGGGTACGCTGATCCAGATCCTGGTTCTGCCGTTTAAAGGGAGTCATTCCTTTCCACTGTCCCCGTATTCTTCCTCAGAAGGAGACATGAATGCATAGTGGTACCAGGAGAGATCTGAGACCGGTGTCAGAGCTGTCTGACCTTAAATGATGCTCATTGTGTCGGTCCACCATGATCTCCTCCTGTTGCTTCAGTCAGCAGGACCTGAGATTTCATCATTTTAGAACCAGAACCAACTCAGCTATCTTTATATCTGTTGGCTAGAGAGGAAATGTTTAAAGTAAATAGAGCTGGAAGGAATTCATTGTTGGAATCTTTTATTGATTGTGGAGGAAAAAAACACCCCCTCTAACAACATCAACACAAGTTCAACAGACAGAAACCTTACATGGTAGGTTCTGTTCAGGTTGTTTACTGTGAGCATGAAGTCACAGGGTGTTCAGGCCTCTGCAGGATTCAGTTTCATGTGTCAGGATCTCATGTTTCTGCAGCATGAAGCCTCGCTCCAGCTGATCCAGAGTCTGTCTGTGTGAGAAAACAGCAGCCTGCAGCTGAACGATCCTTGGATCAGTTACCAGAACTCTTACTGCTGATATTCTGCTCAATCCCAGTGAAGCTTATGGTTGTTTGGACCTACAGAAACCTGGTGCTGATGAAAGAACCCAGAACCCGATCCACTCAAGGTCTAGCTTCTCAAAATCCACTGGGTTGCTGGTGACTGGGTTTTAAAGCAACGAAAAACTCAGAACAAATGAAAATTACACCGGTAAAATGTTTACCAATATAAACATGTTAGATATTGTTGGAAAGCTTAGACTGTCCACAATTTAAACGCCAAGTTGATTTTTATCGACATAGCGAGGAACAAATTAACACATAGCAGCATGTCAAAATTTAAACATGACAAAGCAGCCACAACAGCATACCTTTGAAAGCATCCAAAAGCCGTCTTAAAAATCCAATCTTCAATTTTTTAATCTCCATTCGTCCATAAGGGTCCACAGATTAAAAGTAATCCAGAATATTCATAATAAAAATATTCCACCATGAGAAATTTGCCATGTGCAGCTTGGGCTGTTTTTACTCCCCCAATTTTCATTTACATTTTGAAACACTTAACACATAATTTGGGCTTACAGTTCATCAGTTATTTACTTTTCTATTTGGATATGCAAAATAGGCAAGGATTACTTCAAAATGAGGTGGATGTTAAGAGGCTAGCAGAGCTAACAGAAGATGGGTGTTATGCAATCTTGATATATTCATTGTCCACCCCAGAAGATATGGCAAATATTATATTCAATCAAATAATATTCAGATGGTCATATCTTCTTCTGTCCACACACCCACCTGGCTTTGTGTTAGAACTACAAACAGATAAACCCGCACATAATTGGAATGAATTCACCAGCATGTCCTTTCAAAATGTAAGAGTTTATGGACAAAAATTGTTCATCTCCAAGTTAAACATATTTCACATGTACTTCACTTTGTACACAAAGAAGGAGGAATGCAGAAGGTTTGAAAACCATTATCAATAAAATGATTCAATGTTATCAGAGTTTTCCATGTTTTTTTCTTGGACAACCAAAGTTTATCTAGAAGAATTTGGAATCAAGTCAAGTTGGCTTTTTACTATTTAGAGCAAGTGGAGTGCAAACCCATGATATTAATAAAACATGTAAATATATGGATCATTGAACAATTTGCTTAATAAAAATCCTCATAACCTTTACATAATAAGCAGACATAAGGGAATTCATTTTAATATCCTCTTTGATAATATTATGCTAATCAAATGTGATGAAACGCATGATATGCTATTTATCTTTATGAACAGCTCGAAACATGTTCTTTGCTGGTCTTACACAACATTAAATGCATGAAGAAAAAAAAAACTGTTAGCTGGAAACTTAAAATTTTGTGCCAGATCTGCAGCATCTGCTGATCTGCGTTTTGGAGAGGGTAGAGTTTTCTCCAGCATTTAGCAGCTTAGCATAGCACACCCACATCAGGGGTGTTCTTTGTTCTCCGGAGCTCCACTCCACAGTTCCTGAAACTCAGAATTTTTGCTGCAAAATTGTTTCGCAGCCATTTGGTGCTAGTATTAACCACCAGGTCTACTTAGGCTTTGATCAGTCTGCAGATCCTGGTCTTTAGCATGTGACCTTCCATGTTGGCATCTCTACCGATGTGATCCTCAGAGCCTCGCAGCAAAAAGAAGCATGAAGTTGTTGCTTTTTCCTCAAAGAACCATGAGAGGCAGGATTGCCTATCCTGTGGGAGAGGAAGGGGTTGAAAATGGAGAGGAGAGCCACAGCTGCTCAATGATCAGAGTTAATATCAGCATGGACGTTTGTCCCTAAAGCCGGGCATACACTGTACGATATTTCCAACCGTTGCACCCATTGCAGCTCAAACTGTACGACGAGACCACAGGGTTTAAAGGTTCACAGCTCACTATGTTTGTTTTTACACTGTACAGCCCGACGCTCTGATGTATCTTACTGCTCACACTGCCCGTCCAAAAACCACATGTTGGACTGGTCACCGAGCGATGGCACTGGTCAGACTCTTCGATCTGGAATAAGAAGAACTCCCTTGTTTGCACATGCACAATGCTCGACGTTCTGTTAAATCAGCTCGTAGCTCTGCTTCAACAGCAGGATTTGCTTACGACGGTCGACTGAATTTCAAACGTTTGATTTTCTCCTGACCTTGAAATTCCTGATTGGGAGGTGGTCGCGAGAGGCTAATCGTCCCTCGTATGCTTCACGATGCAGGACGCACCATGAGGCTAAAACTCGGCCCGATTGAAAAAATTCTCACACAACCGGAGAATCGGCCTGAAAAGGGCCAAAAAATAGTACAGTGTATGTCCAGCTTAATGCCTCAAATTAATACCATGGTTTATAAGGCCCAAAACGTGTCATAAATGCGGTATAGAGATCAGGATTTTTCCTGCAGTGGTCGTGTTGCTGCTGCTCAGCTAGTTCTGGTTCTGTTCTGTGATTTTCATCTGTGTTCTGACCACCTGTCTCTCCTCTGTCAGGTCCATTTTAGTGACACTGTGGAGGAGCACTTGATTAACTCTGAGGAGGACCGGCGAGGTCCGTGGGAGGAGCTGGCCCGGGATCGCTGCCGGTTCCTGCGGCGCTGTCAGGAGGTTGAGCAAAGCATCGGGTTCTGTTTGCAGCCACAGCACCGGCAGCAGATGTTCCAGAGACTCAACGCTCTTTCCGACACCTGACAGGAACCACAGGTGGACGAACCCAGTGCCGGTTCTGTCACGGTAACTGACTTTCTGCGTGAAGAGGTCGGAGTTTGAATAAATTTTAATCAAGCTGCTGCTTTCATCATTTTCACAACAGAGCCGAACGGAGGCTTTGTCTAAGATGTTCAGGTTCACACAGCGCCTGCTCTAACCAGCGGGTCAAACCAGGATGCAGGAAATCTGCTTCAGAGACATGAAGGAGTGTTTGTGCTTTGTGTTAATTAAAATCTAGATTATTGCCAATTAAATTTTTTATTTTAAGGATTCAAATTTCAAACTTTCAGTGTTTCTCTAATTATAACCTGCAGCAGGTGTGGTAGCGAGCTGCCTAACGGGCTGGAGCCAGTGTTTGTCCCGGGCTTAGCTGTGGCCCATTAAAGCCAAAGACAACGGGAGGAAAACTTGGACGCTGAGTGTCAGAATCCCTGTGGTATTAAAGTGCTCCGCTGTTGATCTGAACGTCCAGCAGGAGGCGCTGTGCAGAGCATTCAGCAGAACATCTCCTGAAAGTTTTAAGCTAAAGAAGAAAATCAAGCAGAATCCAACCAGATGGTCTTTGCTCAGACTGATCCCCTTTGGCCTCAGATCCTCCTGGATCGATGGATGAAGTTCTGGTCAAATAAATCACAGAAATGTTTTTATGAAGAATATGGAAACAAAATGATAAAGGTGCACCCACTGATTAAAAAAACTGATAACCTGGAGAAACTCAGAGTTCCCACACTATCAGAGACCCTAAAGGCAGCACTGAACACAACCCACAAACAGTCTGATGAATTTTAGTTTCCATAACAACCTTGAATGAACTCTTCTACATCTTCAGTTTAATATTCAGGAAACAGGCCTAATATGGATGGTGTTTTTGTCCGGTCAACTCTTTGCTGCCTTCAGGTATTAATAAAGTGTGGGAATTACAACTTTCTCCTTTGATTTCTTGTCTAATAGCAGAGCTGATCTTAATAAGAACTATTTAAACTACAGAACGAGGAATATTTTCTTCCTGTTGAAATTCTTAATTTCACAATGTTTTTCAATCTTAAATACAGAGTTAAACTTCAGGCTGACCTAAATCTTAAAATAACTGCTGCCATGGGGCCTTGGGGCTTGTCAGATTATTCCTGTGATTAAACTCCACAGATTAACTCAGGATATTTGTTGAATCATCTTTATTGAAGCAGTAAATGGATCAGATGTTATCTGCTGGAATGAAGAACTGCAGGAAATGTTTGACAGGATGGATGGAGATAATAATGGACGTCAGTGGGGGGAACCCGGACAGGTAGATTCCTCTGCAGAGGGCTTTGTTGGGCCTTCGTGGATCGTTTGGGTAAAATGGGACGTTCAGGTCAACAGTTCAGAGAACAGGAAGCTGAAGCGATGCTGGATCGTGTGACGTTTGCAGGAAGACGAGTGTTTGACTGAGTTTAGGACTTAAAATAATCAGAGTGACAGTGCCAGTTTGATCCGAATCTTTGGTGTTTACTTTTAATCAGAGGATGGTTTTTATTTTTCTAACTCATGGTTCAATCCGTGCCTCTTGGTCTCCTCGCAGACCAATGATGAGCTAATAAACCTGTGTTGATCAAAGCTGACTCCTGTCTGTCATTTCCTCAGGGACACTGTCTGGATGCTGCCCTGCATCAAGGTCACCTGGTCACCCAGACCCACTGATAGACTGGGATGATTGTAAAGACAACATTTTCTGACTGGTTTTAATTGTAAAAATAACCAAATATCACTTTTATCAAATAATATAATAAAAAAGCTTATTCAGTTTAAAACATTTTAAGTTGGACGTTAAAGTTCTGAGAACTTTTTTCATTAAATTACAGTTTTATTATGATTTATTTGTGTTGGAAACGGGTGTTAAAACTACAGATACCTGTGTTAGGAAGGATTAGGAAAAGTACCAAATGATCTCCTTTACTTAAGTAAAAGTACTAACGTACAGGTTCTACGTTATACTTAACACAAGAAGCACTATTTTGTAGATTGATTTCCCTGTTTTGCTCATGTGTTTGTAGAACAAAGGATAACTTGGTCTAGTTCTGTTCTTCATTACAATGCAGCATAATATTGATTGAACTAAATTGAACCTGCAGTAGCAGCTGAAAAGTATTAGAGTTCTGGTATCCATTACAGCATTAAAGAATGACTTCCGGTTCAAGGGTCAAACGGCGCCGTCGTCCAATCAGCGATGTCTCATGTTTCCCACTGATACCTACCTTTTCCGGTAGGTTAATGAATTGTGTTTTCCTTAATGTAGTTGAGCTTTGCTTTATGTAGTTTTGTTTTTCTTAATGTAGTTGCGATTTTAGATTTGTAGTTGCAGTTTGCACTTCAGGGCCACCGTAGGGATATTTGTGTTCAAAAGTAATAAGTAAAAGAAATAAGTCCTCAAAACAAAATCACAAGTACAAATGCAAAAACAATACAATTTATTTAATGGACACTTATGAGTAGAAATAAAAATTGTCCCACAGAAAGGAAATACAGGTGTGAGAGCTGCTTGAACAGAAAGTAGGTTTGAGTTTGAGCCTGAAGAGGATTCTGGCTCATTTCCTTCAGTTAAACCAGATTAAAGGTTCAGTTTCCCAACCTGAAGTTACTACTGGTTCATTTCACCTGTTTTACCTGCAGTAGCATCAATGGCAGCTAGATGGCACCAAACATTAAAATAAAATGGAAGAACGTAAAATAGTCTGGAGAAAAATCTATACTAGATAGAAAATCATAGTTTAAATAAATGCAGCATTAATAGATTATTCAGATATTAAATTAAAACAAATTCCACTCCAATAAATGGAATGAATCACCACAAGATGATTGTAGCAAAGCAGGACTGCCTGGATGCTGGTTACCTCTGCAAAGGAGATTGTGTTAGGTTCTGTCAGTCTGTCTGTCTACAGGATAATTTGAAAAGCTGTGAATGGATTATAAAGAAGTTTTGACCTCAGACCAAGGAACAGTCCATGAACTTTTGGTGATTTTCCACATCATAATTTGATGCAGTATATTTTTAAAAAGTATTCTTTAACGTTAGTTGGCAGAACATGCAGTTCCCCCCGAAACCAGAGAGTGGCAGCAGTGTCTATTGACAGCTTCAGCATGGGTTGTCTGGAAGTATACTGAAGACCAAAAAAACTGGAAAGGTGAGCCATGCCTCGCAGAGTGAATGAAGAAGGTGAGAGCAGAACAAACACTAGAGGCTGCAGACACACTGTGCCTTATTTATAAAATTATGAAAGGATTTTAAGGATCTTGTTACCAAAGGTGCGCCTCGTGCCAAGGAACAATTCCTTTAAATTTGGTATTGATCAACATCGTGCAAGTTTCAGCTATAGGTGTAAATCACAATGTGTGGCAAAGTGCTGCTTGGCAGAGATTTGCGCTCTTAGAGTGCTTTTTAGTTTACTTTGGATTTCGTTATTTTTTTCATTTATTTATTTATTTTTTGTGTGTCTCATTCCAGTAATATCTAGGACCACTTAGATTGGGTTGGATATGATTTTTTTTAGCAAGGTTCCATTGTGGGGTCCCTGATCATATCTATGGAGACTGTGAAACCCTGCTTTCTTTAATTCAATACGTCCATGAGGCTCACTGGATCGGATCCATATCTTTAAAAGCCCTGGCATAGGTCTGGATTGGGTTCTAGTTCCTGACGTGGAACCACACCTTGGCTGTGTTCTTTGGCCATGTGGGTTATTGTTAATGGACAAGATTAAAATGCCAAGTATTCATAATATTCTGATTTCCATATTCAGCAATGATACGACAACAACATACTGTATTTCCTGATTGTGTGCACGTCTACATAACTGTAAATACTGTATTTTTTAGTTTCTACTTTGATTTGAGAATCCAAATTTGCATTTTATAACATTTGTAAGTAACTAATTTCTTTGCTTTTTGTTTTGAACGTTGTCCTTATTAGCAGTGACATCTAGAGGCTTAATAGCAAAATTAAAACTACATGACTGCAGATTTCTAAACTATAGGGGCTGAAAGGTCCCCAAGAAGTCTATGGGTTGTCCCTCTAGAATTTCTATGCTATGTTGGTTTGATGGGGCCCAGATTAAAGGTGGTTCTGTTATAGTTTTCACACAATTGTTCTAGTAGGATCTGATTTTTTTTTTACATGCAGAACTTCTATAGACATTTGGCTCAATCTGAATACCTCAAATCAGTTAGGACAGATAAACCACTGCATAAGCTGCCCCAATAAGTGCTATCTGAATAGTGTTGTCAGTTAGGAAGGAGTTACAACCAGGGAGTAGAACTGCTTGATTAAATGTAAGGACCTGATGATGTCCCTAGCTGCTGCTAAGAACTATGCAGTTGATCACCCTTTGTGTCACAAACCTTATAGGCAAGCCCACCTCACTGAGTTGAACAAAAACATTAAATGTCCTCACTTTCATATGTGTTGGGTATTATAATGGAGGGCCTTAGCCATTCGCTACATTTATGTCACCTGTTTTTTCTGTAGCTCTTTTCCTTAAGACTATTATCACAATTTAACCAGCGTCATTTATATGCATGTCCGCCGCGTAATGAGATCCGTAAGGCTGAAGGTTTTCCAGATGATGCACAGAAGTGTGAAGCTCCTTTGCTGCCCTGGATAGTCTTCTTACAGTTGACATGGTGAAGGGATAGGAGCAGCAAGTAGGAGCTACAGTTTGACGTATTCAGATTGCGCCACCATCCACTGCAGCTCAAGCAGTCTATAGACTCCTCCTCCGAATACCTCAAATCAGTAAGGACAGTTAACCACCATGGAAGTTGCCACAATAAGTGCAATGTTAATAGTGCTGACAAGAAGGAGCTAGGAGCAGCAAGCATAACTGCTTAAGCTCCTTTGCTGCCCTGGATAGTCTTCTTACAGTTGGCACTGCGAAAGGTGAAGGGATAGGAGCGGAAAGTTGGAGCTACAGTTTGAGGTATTCAGATTGAGCCAGCGTCCTCTGGAGCTCAGGCAGTCTATAGACTCCGCCATCATTGGCTCCTCCCTTTTGATGGTGGGATCTGATTGGTCCTCCATGGGAAGCAGAAGGTTTTGTTTAGAGCTCAACAGCCTGCGTCCCTCCTCCGTTGTCCGGTACAGACGGGCTGCCCCTGGATGACTCCGCCTCCTCTTGATCTTCTTCCTCCATCTTTACCAGCCTCTGCAAGTACTTGATATACCTGATGGCGGCTCGAAGCGTCTCCACCTTGCTAAGCCTTTTTTCGGCGCTCTGCCCCGGCAGGTGGTCCCTTAGCTTGGCGTAGCCCTGGTTCACACACTTAACGCGCTGACGTTCGCGTTCGTTTCGTTTCTGGATAAACGCTGGCTCAAACGGACACTCGTAGACACTGAAGTGTCCATGATGGTGGAATGGGGACAGGTATGGCAGGATCCCTCCGGGGCCCCTCAGAGGGCCCTTATACAGGCTTAGGGTAGATGGGTCCATATTGGGGGGATAGAAGAGGATGGGGACAGAGGTGGACAGAGACTCTGAGTGCTGGGACCTGCTCCGCTCCTCCAGTCCAACAGGGGGAGACATACCGAAGCAATCAAAGAGTGACTGAGAGAAGGCGGAGCTCATCATGTCATCGGGAGCGACCAATGAGGGGAGAAGACAGCTGGCTGGATCAGAGAAGGATCATGCCGGTCTCCTGTGAAGAGACGGAGATATGCTTCAGTTTATCGACTTACAAACATTTCCATCAGGGGGCAGAACTGAGCTTCAGAGAGAGCAAATAAAGGAAAACTTACCAACTAATGTTAGGATTATGACAACATTAAGACTTCTATAGACTCCTAAAGAGTAGGATGTTGAATATTGGGTCCGTTCTGGCTAACCGACTGGTCGAGCACATGCTTTGGTCATTTCTGAAGGCCACAAAAAGCAAGAGCAGTGGCGTTCCAAGACGAAATATATAAAAAGGGGGCCAGTGGGTGTTTTTTCAGGGGAGAACAGAAAAAATAAAAAATGCAAACAACAAAAAATTAAATAATTTAGTAAAAACAGAAACAGGGCATGAGCACATTGTTTAGTATTTTAGGTGAGCCACAAAGCCAAGGTTGCAGACCTTTGATAGTCTCCTCTGTTAGCTTATGTCATCATGAGAAATGTATTTAGTAGTACACTGCAAAAGCTGATCAAAAAAATAAGTAAAACTATTTTTGAAATAAGTGTATTTGCCCTTAATTAGAACGGCTAAGTAAAATAATCTGCCAAAGGGATGGGTATTTTTCCTCTTACAATAAGATATAGTATGATGCGCTTAAAATTTGTTAATTGAGGTTTTTTTTTTTTTTTTTTTTTTGATGTAAATCAATGTATTTAATTGCCGAATTGTTTTATTTTTCTTCTTAAACAAAGTAAAATATATTTAATTCAAGAAAAATTTACTAACTTAGATTACATTTTTTGCAGTGTATGTTCTTAGTACATAGACGGCCCCTGTTATTGCCCCTGTATCCTGCCCATGAGCCCATGAGCAGGATACAAAGGAAAATCATCAGACACTTTGAGGACAGGAAATGGATTTGACAAAGAAAGCTGAATGCAAACCTGCTGAGGAACCATGTCTGATCTGATCGATCCTTCCTACAGAGAGCAGACTGACTCACTGTCCTTTCTAGAGAGACAGTATATTTTCCATATGTCTTTAATGAAGACAGTGGAACGTCCATCTGCTCTTTCTAGAGAAGACAGACCTTCAATCTGTCAGAAACAGAGACATCAAACTTTTCTAACTGAGTGGTTTTCAACATGAGGAGAGCAAAGGGACCATAGGAAATTAAGAAAAATATAAAAAGAAATTGATTTAAAAGTCAATTATTTTTTTACATTTCCTTAATGAATAGAAATATTTATATTTACAACAGTTTATAATTTGTTGAAATAATAATAAAAACAAAATTGAAACATGCTAGTTAATAATCCCTCTGCTAAAAAAAGCATAATAATTGTACAGCAATATAATTAATAAAAATTTTGTAGCATCCTCGGCTCAGAAGCTAAATCTGGTAGGGTCGCTGCATGGAAAGCCATGGTCTAACGTTCGTTTAATCTGTCCTTAAAAGACACATCTCATTGTCTACTATTTAGAGAAATCTGAATATTTTATTAGAAATAACACTTCTAATTTGCCCTGATAGGAGACATCAGATTGTCCCTCTGTCTGTAACAGAGACATCAGTCTGTTTGTCATCTAAAGAATGGCCAGACTGTCCTCATGTATTTTCTACAGAGACATCAAGTTGTCCATCTGTCCCTTCTGGAGGGGCCCATCTTTGGCACACCTCTGGCCCAGCCTGATCCGATCTCCAGTCTGAGCAAGAATGAAAGAGCTTAAGGAAGCTGGACGGGTGAGAAGCAACGTTGGACTTAAGTCTGTCCACGAGAGATGTGGGACATCTCCACAGCTCAAGGTTAGAGAACGACATCAAAGGTTGGAATTTTGTTGCTCAGGAAGCTCCTAGCTGCATGCTGTCTTACCATGACCAGGATCGACTCTACTGGGACCTTATCTGGGCCTGGGTGCCATTGGTCAGAGGAGCCCCAGACTGAAATTTAAAAGAACCAGTAAAGGCTGGATGTGTAGATAAGGATGACCACTATCCAACACAGTAGAGGATGCATAATGCCGAGGACTTTACTTGGTAACCTTTCCTGGAGTGCACAGACTCATGAGGAACATTTAAGATACGTATCTGATTCAGGAGGCTGGAAATGGGTCCTGATTATGATCTAAATCCCTCCATGACAGAAACATCAGGAGCATCTCAGTCCCCTGACCTCCTGTTGGACCAGAAAAAGGGTCTCTATTTGGTCGCTTGGAAAAGCCAACTCAGAGCCGTCCAGTCGATGAAAGTCAGCGTAGGGAGCCGCTGTAAACATTTATTACTGGACATGGTTCTGAGGAATGTTGTATTATTATTTTAAGACATTTTTTTTTTTACATTCCTTAACTGAGCAGCCTCTCCACGCTGGATGAATTTAACAAGCAGGAAGAAAATAACCAGCAGGCTTCAACAGGACGCAGAATCAGAACCATGACACAAAAGCTGCAGAGATCTCAATTCTTTCATCTTCACAGGGTCCCTGGTCACAGGCAAGATTGAATCTTCTGAGATTCACGGAGCGTTGAGTTTTGGAAACGTTTCCTCAGAAATGAAAAGTTAGACAGTTTTTTATGGAGGAAGGTGGACCTGCAAAGAACGACCCAAAGAGGACATCTCACCTTCAGATGCAGCTGCAGCAGATCGTCCTTCAGCTTCTCTGGATCTCTGACTGCAGGATGAAAAGCTCAGACCTTAGCTGCTGAAGCTCCGCCCTCATAGGTGTGTGTGGGTGTGTGTGTGTGTGTGTGGTGGGGGGGAGAGGGAACAAGAGAATCAGGTTAAAGACAGAACATCAAATTCTGCAGGTTTTTTACTGAGGAACATGAAAATTTCCTCTGATTTCATGTTTCTGTGTGAGACCTTCCTCTGACCGGTCCCCTTCGGGTCTCTGGGGTCTCACAGTCACCCAACGGCCTCCTAGTCATTCCAGGGTCACACAGTCTTTCCAGGGTCCCCCAGTCCTTGAAGGAACTCTCTGGAGTGGCGTTCACATCAAAGCAGCCTGAAGCCTAGAATGAATGTTTGCAGTTTCCTCTCCCTAAATCCTTCTCCTCCAGATGAAAGGCATCAGCGGCATACACCCTTCCTGTCATCACACGTCTGCTGGCACCGCACACCCTGATGACTGTTTACACACACACCTGCAACCCGACACTCACCTGCGATGATCCCAGTCTGCAGGTGAGGACAGAAGCTCTCATTAAGGTGTTCAGAGATCCTTCTGATCCGAGGGCTGTTCTGATGGCAGGAAACCATCTCTGTGGACCTCTCCTGGATCCACAGCTCCTCCACACTTACACATAGATTTTTCTAAATGGGCTGGAGCAGCAGGTCCGTCAGAGTTCTCATATGTGGTATCGGACCACTGTTAACCCCGACCCATCGGTAGAACCCCCAGTGTTGCTGATGTTTGTTCTGTTCCACAGGATCTGAAGTGGCAAACGGATCACTTGTTAAAGGTGAAGACATGTTGGAGAAGCTCAACCAGCAGCTGATTGAGCTTCTCCAACCAGCTGCTTTCTTTACAAAAAACTTCATGAAACCTTATCCATTGATTCTGTTTGCTTTGATTGGGTCGTTGGGTTCAGGGTTGTAGCCCAAAGTTGCAGGATGGTAGATCTCCAGAACTTAAAGTGTTCTGATTTTCCTGCAGATTAACAAGATGCTTGTCTGCACAGCTCCTGTCACCACGCTGAAAAAACAATCTAGAAATAAGTAACAGTTTTTTAAATTAAGTGTAGTTACCCTTAATTTGAGTAGGTAAATGAAATTATTTGTCAATGGAATTAGTATTTTTACTTATAAAATAAGATTATTAGATAATTTGCACTTAAAATAAGACATTGCAATTGTGTTTTCTTATTTTAAGTGTAAATTTTCTTGTTCCATTGGCAAAATGTCTCTTTTACCTCCTCAATCCAAGAACAAATACACAAATTTTAAGAAAAAATGACTTATCTAGATTTTGATTTTTTTTCCAGTGCAGGGAGAAACCCACTGAGAGTTTTCGGATAGCAGAACCCATACAGCTAGAAGTCCTGATGCCTGGCAGATTTATAATGACCATAACTTCTCTGCATATCAGAGTTCTGCAGCAGGTCGTCCATCAACACAGCTGATCATCATGCCTGTATTCTGACCAGTAAAACTAGTTATTTTTTATTTTTTCCAGCATTAGAAATATGTTGAAGAAACATGCCTCTGGCTGAATTTACCCGTAGTCCTCATTTGGACCTTAAACCAAGCCCAGGCCTGCTTCAGGAAGTTTGTTTTCTCAAAGCAGATTTCAACACTGTTCGCTGTGTTTGCAGAACTTTTGCGTTCCGCTCACTTTACTAGTGCAGAACCGAGTCAAAAATTAGTAAATAAATACTCTATGCATTAACACTGCAACAAAAAAGAAAGGTTGAAATTAAAGAGAGTTTGTGAACTCCCACTGAGCCGCTGTGTGTGAACATGAAAGCTGCAGCAGCTACACATGTAATGACATGACTTTGATCGGAGCATCTTGTCAACAACAGATCTTCTAAAATCATCCAGAACTTCTAGAATGTCTCTCAGTCACAGATTCTTTACTTCATGTTCTCCAACATTTCTGTTGGGGATGTTGCTCCCACCCTGTGTGGCGGAACAGGAACAGAAATAGGAGGTTGAAGCAGGGCCGGATCTAGTAGAAATGTGAATGGGGTAGATGCTCAAGCTAGAAACAGTAAACCAAATTAGTTTTAGATAAAAACACATATTTATCCTTTTTTATCCTCTTTTTTGGCATTATTCTGCAAATTTAATACATAAAATTCATCAATGTTGGGGTTTAAATAATAATGAAGACTGATTTACTAAATCTCCAATAGTCTGAGAACACTTTACATATTATTTACAGCTTTCTGCTACAGAGAACATGTATAATAATACTAATATTTAAATAAGCCTCACCATCCTGTCAAAGCTCTGCATACCTTTAATTTCAGACCTTATTTAGATTTTTTTATGTTAATAATGGTCATTTTATTATGCTAATAAAATAAGCGTGACCATTCGTGCAAACAAATGGTGAATTTCCACTCAAATGGTTTCATGGCTTCATCAAATAGGTGCGTTTATCCGTTTGCTGACCCTTGTGTGTCCAACCTTGTCTCCTCTGCATCCATTACCCTACATCACAGCCTCATCCAGTCCCTGATTGGTTATTGCACCTAATTAGCATGGATGGAAACGCATTGTTTACATTGCCGACTGTTAATTGCATCCCAGAAAACTTTGATCGCACACTCTACTTGTCGCACTTCTCTCCAGTATGAAAGCACTATAACAGACAGCTAAGTAATATTTTCCTCTTTATTCATTATTTTTTGTACACTGCTCCATATCATAGATCATTATTATTTGCCTTCTACACATATTAGTTAATAATTAGTAAAAAAATGTTCCTCAGCTGTTGAGTTCTCATAATAACATAAAATAGATAAATAAAAAAAATAGAAAATAATAAAAAATAAAAAGGCATTTTTTTAACCAGGTTTTTATTACTGGGATCAGACTGGACCAGATGTGACAACATATGGCTAAAAAGCAAATAACGTCAACACATAAAAAAATAGTCACATAATATATTTATTAGAAAATAAAATAAAGCAATTTAAATTTAAACACCTTTTTTATGTAACTTGGATATGATGGGATCTTTGATGGTCTTTACATTAAGTTAAGATAAACTGTGGCTCTTAGCAAAAAGTAGTTTATTCAAGTATACTAAAAGTGCACTTTTTGTCATACTTAAAATCAGTCAGTGTACTTAGAGTTTACTTATTTTCAACTATATTTCATATACTAAACAATAGTATAGTCAAGTACACTTGACTATACTATTGTTTACTTTTTTGTTTACTAAAGTATACTTTAAGTATACTTTAGTAAACTTAAAAATTTCCTAATTTAGTTCGAAGAAGTATTACTTTAGTAATACTTCAAGTACACTAAAATAACATTGTTCGGTATACTTTCTAAAATTATACTTAAGTATTCTTAATAGAATTTACTTCGAGTATTCTACTTTTTGCTAAGGGGAGCTCTTAGCCTGATTGCAAACTGGTCCTTGGATTTAGAAAAAGAAAAGCTTTCTTCCCGTTTTCATGCTGACCAGAGGAAGACAAATAAAGTCCTAAGACCATAGGGCCTATTATTAAAAAAAATGATAAAAAAATGATGTATTGTATGTTTTTCTTTTAAGAAAAGCTTTGTATATCAACACACCAACAGCCATTTCAGCAGAAACAAAGATGGGCTTTTAGTTTTAAGCACAGAAATTCACAGGATGTTAAGGAATCACCATAATCTGAAGAAAAAGTCTAATTCTTGTTTAAATTGTTTCATTAAAGGTATAGTGGTCTTCCTAATTGTTAATCATTCTAATGTTATATTTACGGAGGCCATCCTACGAGCTGGTTCCTATTTTCACTTAAAACTGCAGATCTTCTTTTGGAAAGTAAGCTTGTATGAGGGATGCATACAGCAACTTTTAAAGTGAAATAGGCTTGTGCATATGGGCGTTCCCTCTCGGTAGGGGTACAGGGTTGTGCATGTGCATTTTCTTTTTAAGTGGAAGGAAGTGGTTGGAAGGCCTCCGAGCCTCATGATCTTCATTTGGTCGTCACCAGTGTGAATATCTTCAAAGTCATGGGGCTTGATAAAGGAAGTGCTTTTTTTCCTCCAACCAATCTTTGCTAAAAATGACTTGTTGGAGCCCATCTGTGTTAAACTGACAGTTACTGGAGCGCCCAACAGTCCCACTGGAAGAAGGTCAGAAAGATGGACAATAGGACAGTCCTCTGTTTGGGACAGGAACATATATTAGTGGAGATCAGGGATATTAACTAATGATCAGAGACACAAGATGTTGAGAAAGTATTTATTATCCAATGTGATTGACCTAAATGTACAGAGTTACTGAGGCACACAGGTTCAGGTGCTCACATCCAGATCTCTGAGGAAACGCCTCCATAAATGGGAAGAAATACGGAGCAGAGAGACCTTCTGCTTACTAACTAATGAACGCCTCATCCAGACACACACGCACACCTCATTCACCATCTGCTCAAACATTTACAGCCTCATAACATTTAGTTCCTTATCACTTATTGATGCAGAACGTTCTCCAGCAGGATCCGGTTCTGCTCAGACGGGTCTCTGCTTCCGTTATTGCTGACTGATCAAAGTCTTGTTAGTTTCTACTAAGCATCAGGTTGAATAATTGAAATAAAAAAAGTCCATCAGTGGTTCTGACCTGATCCAGGTATCAGCCACTCGCTTAGTTCAGAAACTAACACTTTTCTCCGGACGGATCAAATGCTTTAGAAAATCTGAGTGGGACACAGAGACGGTTTCTCAGAGGACATCTTCCTGCTCCGTCTGATGGACAGACTCGCCCAGCTTCAGTGCGACAGAAGGAAACAAAGGACAACGGAGGTCTGTTTCAGGTGACGGAAGGAGTCACCTGGGAGACAGACAGATATGATGGACATGTAGACAGAAGGATGGATGAAGAGGAGAGATGTAGACCAGTGGACGGACAAGTGGGACCTCAGCCCATGTATGGATACTTCCACTCTGTGAGGGGGACATGAGTCTGCTTCACCACCCGAGGAGATGTCCATCTCAGGACGTAGTGAGGACCTCCAGGTTTGTCATTGGTACCTTCAAAGGAAGAAGGACAGGTCAGTGATCTTCAAGGTGAC